CAAGCCAAGCAGGGCTGCTTTATTTGCACACTTGCTTTATTGTGGCTCAGAGTCATGCATAGTTATGGGCAGCTGGGGCAGTGCTGGCCCCATCCAAGGGCAAAGCTCATCTTGGGGAAGAGGTTTTGCAGCTTGAGGAGGCCATGTGACTTGGGTTCTGCTGAGCACCTGCAGGCCTGGAGGGAAGGCGAGTTATAGCTGCAATGGTGAGACAGCTTTTATCGTCCTCAGACGCGAGGGGATGGGTGTCTGTCTGTGCCCTGAGGTGTGTGAACCAGCTGAGAACTGCTGCTGGGTGGGACTTGGGACCTGCCTGCCTGGTCATACCAGCTGTGCTTTTCATAGCCCCTTTCCCTGCAAAATGAGCATAGGGGAAGGAGCGGAGGGAAATCCTTAGAGCAGGGAGCGGTGCTCTTGTTTTTGGGCAAGCTGCAGAAGATCCCTCTGGTAGTTGCCCACAGCCAGGGCTGCTATGAACCGCACAGAGGTTTGACTGGGGTCTCCTGTTGCAAACTGGAGATAAAGGTGCATCTCCTTTAGCCTCAGCAATGTGGAGTAAGGTTATGTGACCCTCAAGCTTGCGTGTTCCTCTGGTTTAATGTGATCCGGGTCTTCTCCTGGGAAATCAGGCAGGGAGCAGCCTCTAGGATCAAAATCTCCTGGGGATGGTGATGGGTGATCAGTCTCCTCCTTCCCTTGGGCTTGCGCTGTTGCAGACAGCAGCGGGAGGCGCAGAGGGACTGCGTGTGGGTGGCAGCACCAGCTGCCTCCATCTCGCTGCAGGTTCTGTCTCCTTGCCTGCTCTCCATGGCTTGCAGCAGTGCAGCCTCCCTGGGTAGCAGCTTGAGAGCTCTGCTTGCAAGGCCAAAATTCCCCTTAAAGAGCATCCGGAAGGCTGGATCGCGTCCAGCCACAGTCTGGGCCCTGCCCTGGGTCTGCTGTGAGATTGGTTGTGGGTAGCTACTTTCTGGAGGTGATTATTTTTTTTCATTCTCCCTCTGAGACTGCACTAAGATGCTTTGGATCCCAGAGTCCTTGCTGGGGGACCTGCTCTCATCTCCCAGGTATGCAGCCCAAGAAGAGCTGGAACAGCTCTGGGGAGCAAGCCCCAAACATCTCCCTGGAGTCTGGGTGGGTGGCTGAGGTGAAGTTACTGTGTCTGGAGAAGTCAAATAGCCTTCATTATACTCTCTCTATATATATTTTCCTGTTCAGCCACTCTCTCCTCAAGAGAAGAGGCCGTGATGGGATTTGGCCTGTGAGAACAATGTCCGTCAGAGTCATCCTCAAGCTATGAGGCTGTGGGTCATGTGTAGCCAGGCTGGATCTGCTGCATTTTGGACTCTGAGGTCTCGTGTGTGTAGGATGCCTGTCCTGGTGCATGGGCAAGTGTTGCAGCAGTTGGTTATTGAGTCCGTTTGGATCCTTGGAGGGCTGAGCTTGTACTTGAAGGCTCTGTGTCCTGTGCTTGGACATCGGATGGACCCTGTGGGGCAGAAAAGGGATTTTTAGCAATAAGTCTCTCTGAAACTAGCTCCTGCTTGAATGAAGAGCTTTAGCTGCCCACAGGGCATGTCTCTACCCAGGCTTGGTTTTTGTGCTGCTTGCTGGGCTCCTTTGGTGACTTTCAAATTTGGCATTGAGCTTTAGGAAGGAAATGGGGTGCTAACTGTCTGCAGAGCAACAGAGTGTGTGGGAGAGATAGCGATGGTGGGGAAATACTTGCAAGATAAAGGCATCACGTGAAGCATCTTGGCCTTATCTGTGGGGAAAGGGCATGATCAGAGAAGGCAGCAGCCTTGCTTTTACTTCTGCTTTGCCTCTCAGTGCCTGATGACTGACCTGGCTGGCCAGCTGCATGTGACTCAACGTCCTGCAGTCGTCTGCAGAAATTAGTCCCACAAGTCCCATTCTTGCTCTATGTATAGATCTGCTATGTGCCAGGGTCCTTGCTTCAGTGGTGGCATCACAGGGAGAAACAAGTAACATGAGCTCAGAGGGGTTCCCCCATCCTTTTCCACTGAATCTAGCTTTGAGTGCCAGCCCTTCCAAACCTTCTGGTACAGGGAATTTGGCCAGAGACTTTTCCATGAAATCGGCTAGCCGGCTCCAAGCTAATGGGTTGCACTGGGAGACTCGGCTGTTCTCTCCCACTGGTTTTGCTGGTTCCAAGTTGCTTTTTCATATTAGATCTATGAAGCAGGCAGCCTGCTTAAAATGCAGGTGAAGATTGGGCCAGACAGTGTTGCAAAGAGGATATCCCCTTTCAGCTTGGTCTCAGGTTGACTGGTGCTCGCAGCTGACAGATCTGTGATCTTGTAACCTGAGGATGCAAAAACCCTTCTGAGGCTGCTGCTCCAGAGTTCTTGGCAAAGAGCCTTTTGGAATATCATCAAATTCTCAAGTATCCTTCTGAAAGCAAACTTGCCTCAAGTGCTTTCTATCCTCCAAAGTGCCTCCCTTCTGTGCTGTGGAAAATAGAAACCTTCCTGCTGGAAGGATAGAGGGATTCTAAAGACCAGAGAGAAAGTTTTTAAGCATAATCACTGAGCTGTGCTCCCTGTGTTGTTGGTAGTGGAGGTTTGGCTCTCCTGGTTGCTCACCAGGACCCTATCAGGAAGATGTGGCCTGATGTCTTCTCCTGCACCAGGGACCAGATGCCCTGTAATGTTAAAGGTGTGGTGGGGGGGACCCATCCTATGGATGCAGTGGAGTTGGATCAGATTTTTGGTGTTTCACCAGGCCCCTGGAACCTGGGGAGGATTTCAAGTGTGATGGGGTGGGATTTAAATGCCCTGGACCTAGCTCAGCTGTGGCCAGCTCAGTTTCTTCTTTCTTTTCAGGCTGCATTTAAATATAGTAAAATCAGCCTGTGGGTTTCCAGCATACGTCTTCATTTTGGGTGTTGTGACTCTCCAATGGGACAGGCCCCCCTTTTTTTAGGGCCACCTAACAGAAAGTAGGTGTTCCTTCCCCAGAGGGGCCAAATAGACTTGTGGTAGGTGGTCTTCCCTCACTAACCATCTGCAGGGACTTGGCTGCAGTGCTCATGGCACAATGCAGATCTATTCTTCATGCAGCAAAAATAGGGAGGCAACGGGGACCCTGAGGAAGGGAGAGAGAAGATACTTTGCACCACTAGAGCTTGGACTGGTTGTCTGTAGGTTCCTGCAGTTGTCAAAATGGCACTAGCTTTAGAAATGCTCAGTTTGTCTTGCTTAGCCAGCAAAAAGGAGGTTACATCAGGAAAGCATGGCCAGAAGAGAGCTTGAAGACCCCTCCCCTGGCAGTGCTATGGAGTCCCTTGTCTGTGAGAAACTGATAAGCAAGTAAATAAATATATGTTTAAAAAAAAAACTCTCACAGAGAAGTGAGACTTGGGGGAAGGAGGGACTGAGAGTTTCTGAAACTCAACCAGCTTTCGAGCTGAGCATCCTGCCGAAAGCACAAAGAGGCCACGTGAAAACGAATGGGGGGGAGGCCCTTTTCTATGGTTAGCTGCAACCAACTGGGCTTGTAGCTGGCAGAAAGTAGGACACTCCTGCTGGGCTTTCGTCTCGGGAGGCTAAACTTGGCTGTGAGTGGGAGGAGGCAGCCTGCATGGAAATGTGCATGCGCCTCTGCATCCTCTGCATGAACCGGGCTGCTCGCGGTAGCTATTTGTCCAGCTGCTTGGGTGTATTTGCCCAGAAGGGCTTAAGCCCAGCCCCTTGGATGTGATTACTCACTACCACGAGTAGGAATTAAGGACTAAAGTGGCTCTGCTGGCCCTCTGAGGTCTTGGGTTGCTGGCTGGGCTGGAAGTTTGGGGCTGGTCAAGCTTTGTTTAAGGGAGCCAGGAGGTTTTGGTGGAGGAGGATGCCCCAGGGTGTCTGCTAAGGCTGTTCTGCCTGGACTTCTAATATTGACTTGGGTGCAGATCTGCAGAGGAACATGAAGAGTTGCTGCTTGGGTTGTAGGTTTGTAGGGGGGTTAAAATAGTGCAGGGTGACTTAAATTGGGCAGAACTAGGCAAGAAGAAATGGAGCCTGTCCTCCAAACTGCCATCTAGACTAGTTTTCCACTGCATGCATGAGCAGGACTGATGCTGGGGTCGTGCAAGGCAACTTGGAGGTGAGGCTGTAGCATCTCCTCTCCTCACATGTTAAATTTGAGGATCAAGTTACTTAAGGGTCTTGATTGAGCTGAGGGACATGTGGTTTCCAAAACTGAACCTATATCTATGCTGTGGTGGTGCTTGTGCTTCTGTATGAGAAGTGGGAGGCCTGTGGCTGACTCGAATGTGCTCCTGGATTTCCCCCGTGTTTTTGTTCCCTGGTCTTGGACTTTTCTGGCACCTTGCGTCAAGTGTTGTGGCTTCAAACCTTCCTTGTGGAAAAGTCCTGTATGGGAAGGGAGCATAAGCTGCAGCGATGGGTTGTTCCTGTAGCACTTGGACCCCCTCTCTGTGAGCAGGAATTGCTTTCATTGGGTTGTGACCATGGTTTGGACCCTGAGAGTAGTAGACTGGCCAAAAGGAGTTCGTCAAGTCCATAAATGTCTTTGAGGGAATCCCTCCCAAATCACAAGTGCTGTGCAAGGGCAGTGGGCTACCAAGCTCATGGGGGCTGCAGCTCTACAGGGGTCTGATGGGGCATGGAGGGAAGCAGATCTTTATTCCTTCCCTTAGCTCTTTCCTGTTCTGTAAGGCCCTCCAAGCTGAAATGCTTGAATCTGCTTCAAAAGCAGCTTTCCTGCTGCTACTCATCCTGCAGCGTTCAACCAAACAGCACTGCCCTGTCCGATTTCTTCTGAGCTGCAGGAAGGGTATTAGCAGACTCTTGTGCAGCTCCTGATCGGGGTAGATCAGGATTGGTGGGGACTTTGTGCAGGCCTGTGTTTTAGCTTCCTCTGTTGCCAATAAGCAGCTGCTGGCAGTCCTGCCAAGCGCTGTTGGATCCTTCTCACAGCAGAGCGGTCTGAGCCTGCGTTTGGGATGTTTCTCCTTCTGGTGTTCAGGCAAATGATAACCCAATTGCATTGCAGGTGGAGGGACCTGATCTGAAGTCAAGATGTGGCAGTCTGTGTCTGTCCTGTGTGTCCTGGTGGCCTTTGCCAATGCCCGGAGTGTTCCTTACTACCCACCCCTCTCCAGCGACTTGGTCAACCATATAAACAAGCTCAACACCACCTGGAAGGTGAGTACAGGGGGCTTTTTGGATGGCTTGTGGAACCAGCTGCCCATAGGATGCGGCAGCTATAATGTGAGTCCCATCATGGTCCTTGTATCTAACCAGCCTCTCCAATGAGTTGATGCCATCAGGGTGTCCTGCAGTGATGATGGCTCTACCTCCTCCTAGGAGCAGAGCATTGATGAATTTGTAGACTAGGAGCAATGATGAGAGAGGAGGGTGGAAGCAAGCAGCAAGTACAAGAGTTTATTGGTAACTGCGGTGGTCAAAGCCTGGAGTTGGACTTTTTGGCCACAGTGTCCTGCTTCTGGAGAAGGCTGCGTTTCCCTGTCACCATAGGCAGCTTGGCTCTTGTGCCCTGGGTTTTAAAAGCAAGCATGGGAGGCAGGCTGGGTTTGAGGGAGATCTGGAGGCTGATCTCAGTAGCTGTGAGGATTGGTGCTCAGTCACCCTGTCTCTCCTCAGGCAGGGCACAACTTCCACAATGCTGACATGAGCTACGTGAAGAAGCTCTGTGGCACCTTCCTGGGTGGGCCCAAGCTCCCTGCCAGGTGAGTGGTTGGAGAGGGGAAGGTGTGATGGTCCCACAAAAGCTTGTGCAGATTGTCCCATGTGAGTCTGGGGTGGGCGAGAGCCCCTATGGGCCCTGAGAAAGGTCCCCTCGGTGCTCTGGGGTTGGGCACTTGGTTTGCAAAAACCTCTTTATGTGAAGGAGGTGCAAGATCCTTGGTTTTGGAAGCTACCAGAGCTGAGAAGCAGAGCAAGCAAAGTAATTCCTGCCCTGTAGACAAGCTTAGGGCTTCAAAAGGCTGTCAGAGCTCAGCCTGCCCCCAAAAGGATAATTTCTGAAAAGGCCTTTTTCATCTGTTGTAGTAGCAAACAGCCCGGTGGCAGGAAGAGGGGCCAGAGCTGAGCATAGAAACAAACTTGTGGCAGGTGTCCCCCTGTGTCCTGTGGGATGCCGGAGCAACCATCAAACTCATAATTGTTGAATCGGAAAATACCAGGGAGTTGTTGACCCGGCCTGAGGGCTTCAGATGTCTTTACTTTCCTTCACTAAGCAAATAAGTGTTCTGGCTGCCTAAGAGCACTTGTCCTCCCAGTCCCCTTCAGGGGAGCTTGGAGAGACCTCTGTACCCAGATCTATTGCATTTCCTATGATAAACCTTCCTTTTCTTACTTACAGGGTAGATTTTGCAGCAGATATAGACTTGCCAGATAACTTTGACTCACGGAAGCAGTGGCCCAACTGCCCAACCATCAATGAGATAAGAGACCAGGGCTCCTGTGGCTCCTGTTGGGTAAGAGCGTTTTATTGGCTGCTGCTGTGTGATGATGACAATGTTTGTGCAGAAATAAAGTGAACTGCTGAGTTTGCTGTTGAACGGTATAGATTGCTTGTTTGTCTTTCTCCTCCTCTTGGCACCTCCCCAGAGTCTGTGGAGGAAATGGGACTTCCTCCAGCATGTGGAGGCAGCAGCTATTGGCCCTGTGCTCCTTTGTTGTCTGCACAAGTTTCCTTGTGGGTCTATGAGCTCCTAACCCTGCTGGCCACCACAGCTTGGATTTGATGCTTCAACATGACCTGCTTCTGCAGCAGGGAGCACCTGTCCTGCTCCAGCAATGGCCTTCAAAGCCTTGGGCTGCAAGTGATGGGGTTGGATGCAGTGTCTGAGCATCTTGCACATGGGTGTTCCCTGGTCTGGCTCTGCTGCACAGCAGCTCGCTTCCTGCCAGTGAACCAATGCACTCCACGGGCCAGGAGTGCATTTTTGTTGTTCCCGTGACCAGCACGTGATGCTCTCTGCTTGTTGTTTTTCCTTTGTCTGCAGGCGTTCGGTGCTGTAGAAGCCATTTCAGACAGAATCTGCGTTCATACCAACGCCAAGGTGAACGTGGAGGTCTCTGCAGAAGATTTGCTGTCATGCTGTGGCTTTGAGTGTGGCATGGGGTGAGCTACTCCAGATATTCGTGTGTTTAAAAGGGGAGTGGGAGGAGATAAGGCAAAGGTGAAAATACAAGTGCTGTTTCAGCCCTGACTTGCTTGTCGTGTGCTCTTACTCCCTTATTTGCAGGAAGCTCAGCCAGGGGCTAATGATAGATGCTGGAATTAAGTGGGAATATAAAGGTGACTAGGTACAGCCTAAGGATCTGACTGGGCCATGTCCTTTGTCCAGCAGCTGGATAATGATGGCTGATTTAGGAAGGGCAAGTACATAGAGATGCTTTCTCATGCTCACTTTTGGTGGCTGCCCAAGCTAAAGAAGGGACCTCCTAGTAGCCCTGAAGTCTTGATCTTCAAGTGCAAATGTTTCCCCACTGGGGAGCAGAGCGGAGGCTCCAGATTGTTGTTTGATTTCTGCTGCTCCTGGGGACAAAGGCTCACCAAGGACCTGGTGAGGAGGATCCTAGAAAATGAGGCATTGTGGCTTTGGGATCTGGAGCTGAGGATGCTCTTAGTGTCCTCCTGCCTGGAACTCCAGATCTTCGTGTGTCAAGGTGTAGAAAGGGGGAGATGGACTTAAGGAGGACCTACCTGGAGAAAGCTTCCCTTTAGCCACCCCAGGCTGCCTCATTTCTCCATCTTTCCTCCCAAAAGTGGAAGGCTCTGAGCAGGCCTAAGCTGAGAAAGTTGTTGCTTTTCTGCAGGTGCAATGGTGGTTATCCTTCTGGGGCATGGAGGTACTGGACAGAGAGGGGCCTTGTGTCTGGTGGTCTCTACGACTCCCATGTAGGTAAGTCCTGGCATGTACCTCTTGGAAAAGGAAAGAGGAGCATCTCTGCATGGTTACAGGCTCAGCTATATCCTTCACTCTTCTTCTGGGTGCTGGTTTGCATCTTCATAGCTGCTCCTGTCCCCATGGCTCTTCCTGATGTGACCCCCTTGGGACAAGAGGCTCTGAGCAGCACTTAATTGCAGTTGACTTACCCAGGAATGGAGCACAGTAGTCACAGCTCTACAAAGGATCCCACTTTCTATGATTAACTTTTATTTTCCTCTTTTGGCCCTTTCAATGAAGAAAGGAGTGCTCCTGCTGTTTTGCTCCTTCAAAAAAGCAACAAGTCTCCTTGTCATGGCCATAAGCCAAATGTTTCCATCATTTTTGTGACATTGTCAAGACTGAGCTGGTACAAAGCAGCCTGAAAGGAGCCCCTTACCAGCACAGTCTGCTCCCTGTTTGCATGGCTGTTGGGACCCTGTGTGGTGGGGTGGGCTTGGGGCCAGCCACTTAACAACCTTGCTGTCAACAGGCTGCCGTCCTTACTCCATCCCTCCTTGCGAGCACCATGTCAACGGCTCCCGGCCACCGTGCACAGGAGAAGGTGGGGACACCCCCAGGTGTCAGCGACACTGTGAACCGGGCTACTCGCCTTCCTACAAGGAGGACAAGCACTTTGGTAAGGGGTGGCTTCTGCTTGAGCCTTGTTCCTTGTGCATGGCAGTTCAGAGCTGGCCCAGCAGGTTGTCGGGGTAGTTGAGGACAGGCCTTTTCCCAAGCTGTTTTATGGCTGAATTCTGTCTCCAGCATGTGTCCTTAGGACAAGTGTTTGTGAAGCCAACATGGGCTGGGAAGATGCATTTTTTTTATCTGTTGGCAAGGGAAACTTTTGGTGCCTGCTTCAAGCTCTGATGCCTGAGCAGTCAGACTTGGGAGCTGGAGCAGTCACCATCACTCATGAGTGCCCAACACCCAGCTGGTGTGAGACCTCATAGCTGTAGTGTTGCCTCTGAGGAGAGGTGAGTCCATCAGCTGTTCTCAAAGTGCACAGAGGAGATGGTTTTGAGCCCTGTGGGGGTCTGGCCTCAACCTTTTTTCTCCTTTCCCCCTTGGTGGTAGCTGAGACTATAAATGGGCAACTTGGTTGCTTGTTGGAGTTAATCTGTCTGAAGGCTTGGGCATGTACTGTTGTCTTGGGCTTGGTCTGGTGGTGAAGGGGAAGGGCAGAAGAAACCTCAGAGTGAAAGCTTTGTTCCTCACCTCCCATTTAAGCAACACAACCCAGGAGAAGGCATCTCTTATGAGTGTCACTGATAAGCTTCCATTTTGGAGACAAGGCTGTGTACAAGGAGAACTTCCTCCCTTGCTGAAGGGGTCTGGAGTAGATATTTGAGTACAAAACAGGGCTCTTGTGCTCAGAGAAGAAACCTCAGAGTGAAAGCTTTGTCCTTCAGCTCCCATTTAAGCAACACATAACCCAGGAGAAGGCATCTCTTACGAGTGTCACTGATAAGCTTCCATTTGGGAGATAAGGCTCTGTACAAGGAGAACTTCCTCCCCTGCTGAAGGGGTCTGGAATAGATATTTGGGTACAAAACAGGGCTCTTGTGCTCAATGCTTCCTTCTGGAGAAGGGATGAGCAGCCTTTCCCTGCCTTGCATCTTGAGCACTTGTGTTTGACTCCTTGTTTGGCTCCTTGACTTAGAATCTTCCCCACTTGCATTAAGTGTAGCTGTCCCCAAATTGGGGTGGCCTGACAATGTCACACTGACAATAGGACTTCCTTTTCCTCCCTAGGCATCACATCCTATGGTGTCCCTCATAGTGAGAAGGAGATCATGGCTGAGATCTACAAGAACGGCCCAGTGGAAGGAGCCTTTATTGTCTATGAGGACTTCCTCATGTACAAGTCCGGTGAGTGACATGTACTGAATCAGCACAAAGCAACTTGAAAGCCCTGTTCTCTGCTGAATTTTTCCTGAGGTTTGGTGTGGTCAGGTTTCCTAAAATCTTCAGATGTGAAGCCAAGGTTCTTTGGGGTTTTCAGTAAAATCCTGGGAGATGGTTCTCCTGGCTTGGACCCAGATCTGAACTGCTTGATGTGCTGCCTTTGGACCTCTTGCTGGGTGTCTGTGTGTGTGTGTGTTGATGTGCTGCCTTTGGACCTCTTGCTGCGTGTGCGTGCGATATGATGAGTTCTTCCCTCACTGCTTGTGCCCTCAGGGCACTTCTGCATTGGGTCAAGGAGGTGCAAGAAGGCTCTTACTTTTGGAGGAAGGACTCCAAAAGCTTCATTAAGTTAAATGCACTCACATCAGAAGTTTAACCAAAGAAAGGGCTCTTCTCAGTTGGTCTGTTTGGGTTTTGGTACCGAGCACGTTAAAGCTGGCAGTGTACATGGAAGGATGGGGTGGTTGGTGAGCTCATATGTTGTGTTATCTTGCAGGGGTGTACCAGCACGTGTCTGGGGAGCAGGTTGGAGGCCACGCGATCCGGATCCTTGGCTGGGGGGTTGAAAACGGCACTCCTTACTGGCTGGCTGCAAATTCCTGGAATACTGACTGGGGTGATAATGGTGAGGCACTGGAGATACCTTCTTCAGGGGGCTTGTCTGATGGAAACCTGTGGGTTTTTTGAACCTTAGTGTGAGCCTTTAGGCCCTACCTGTGGCCCTACCTCCTACCTGTGAGGAGACTAAGTTGCCCTTCCTGTGCTTCCAGGTTTCTTCAAAATCCTCCGGGGAGAGGACCACTGTGGCATCGAGTCAGAGATCGTGGCTGGCATCCCCAGTACGATGCAGTATTGGAAGAAGATGTAAAGTTCCTCTTGCACTGCTGCTGGTTTGATCAAATCACAAATAATCCTGAGTCCCTGATGCTTTTAACTGATAGGTTGGGTGCAGAGCCCCCACTCTAAGAGACTATAGTTGAGGTAACTTTATTAAAGCTTTTATCATTTTTTTGGTTTGTTTTTAATTATATCCTGGAGCTGGAGGAAGCTGATATGGGAGCTGCTCTCTGCAGGCCCCTTGCTCCTGGTGCATGTGGAGTTGGGACATCCCTGCTCAGAGGCATTTGACGTTCCATGCCACGGTGTTTGGTTAGCTTGAATTTCTTGAATCCAGCCCAATATTGCGGAGGGAGCAGCAGCTCTGTGCTGAGAATAGGGGCTTAGTAGGGCAGTGGAGACCAAGCCCCCTTGGGAAACTTCCAGGCACAACTTGTGCACCCCTGCCTGGAGTGGCCTGTTCGGGCCTTGCCCAAAGCAAGCAGGGCTAAATCTGCACCTACTAATGACAAATTGACTCTCTTGATGTCACAGGCAGGAGTGGCTTTAGCTCTAGCCCCACAAGTCCCCTGTGAATTGCTTGTTCTGCTCCCTTCAGGGCTAAATAAACCACTTGTTTCTGGGCTGTTTTTTTTTTTTTTTTTCCACTGCTGTAGCCTGGGGTTATTGAGCTTAGGGCAGGGCCTGGCCAGAGCTCCCTGAGCCCTCCATCAAATGTCCTGCAGCACTGGGGTGCTGGAAAGGGTGAACAGTACCATGCTGGTCCAGCTTGGTGTGCTTCGGGTCATGGTTTTGGGAGGGTGCTGCAGCTGAAGGGAGTGTGGAGGGGTGTTCTGGACCTGCAAATGCTGAGGTAGCAGAAGAGGGATGCTCTGAAAACCTAGCCTGGGGGGTCCTGCAGAAGCTTAGAGGCATCTTGCTGCCTTGCACAAAACTAAAGCTTTTTTTTTTTTTTTTTTTTTTCCTGAGCCATGGGCATTAAGGAAAATTATTTTTATTATGGGGGGGAGGCTTAATTAGCTGTGTAGGAGGAATCTTGTGATTAGCCAACACTAATACAGCAAAATAGCTTTTATGTACAAGGTACACTGCAGCAAGCCTGAAACCAGTGAAGCAGGCCCTCCCTTTCACTATATAAATAGCCCCTGACCTCTGCTTACTTGAGCAACAGTGAGACAGAGCTTTGGTGTATGTGAATGGAACAACTGTGCCAATAAAGGATTTCTCCACTAAATTGTGTCCTGGCCCTTGGGAATAGGGGAAAATTAAAACTGAGAGGCTGGCTGTGGTGCTTCCAGAGATCAGGTAATCACAGACTCATGGAAAGGCTGAGGTTGGGAGGAACCTCAAGAGGATCATCTAGTCCCACCCCCTGCTCAGAGCACATGGCACAGGGTGACACCCAGGTGGGTGTTGAAGATCTCCAGAGCAGGAGACTCCATCACCTCTCTGGGCAGCCTGTGCCAAGGCTCTGTCACCCTAGCATCATCTGATCATCTAGGCACTCCTAGGAGCTTGCTCTGAGTCCAAACCCTACCTCACATTGGTCTCCTGGTCTTTGCCTGTTCTTCAAGCCAGCTGAGCTCATCTCTCTCTCCTTGTAAGTGCAGCCAGTCCCAGCCTGGTCCTCTTGACAGTGATGATTGGTTATTGTTAAGCAGGTGTGTACAGTCCCTGCTTTGGACCTGTACTGACTCCTGGGCTCAGTGAAGTAGCAGACACTTCAGGGATGTGAGAAGTGCTTTACCAGGGACAAGGATGAACCCAGAACTGCAGTAGCCATCACTGTAGCTTGTACTTCCTTTAAAGGTACTCTCTGCCTCTGTGCATCTGAGGAAGGAAGGAAGAGGGGGGATAAAAACACACCCTTAAGGCTTTTCTTTTTCCAAAGAAAACTTTAATTTTAACAAGACAGGAAGCTGCACAAAGAGCTACTACATTTTTTCTTCTTTGAACAACAGCTTAAAACTATCTACATCAGTACCAGTGGATTCTCCACCCTTAAATTAAGAGTCTGCTCCTGGGGCACACAGCCTTGCAAAGGCCAGATAACCTCACTGTGAGGCTGCACCAGGACACAGGCTGTATCCTGTGCACACAGTCTATGCAGCAGCAGAAGGGAGTAAGGACCCTGAAGACAAAAATCTTCCCCCAAAAAAGATAAGACTTCCCTTTAAGGAGGTGTTTATTCCTTACTCATGTGCTATTCCTGAAAGGAATAGGGGCTGCTTGACATAACATGAACTGGATCTCTTTCAAAAAGCAAGGGAAAGCTCTTCCAGTTTTGCACATCAGACCCTGTCCCCAAGCAGCACAAGCTGGAGCTGAGCAAACCAGGAACCTGCCTCAGCTCCCCTTGGCATCTGCAGCCCTTCTTGGCCTGCAGCTGGGTTCCAGTGCAGCCAGGGGCATGAGGGCCCTAAACACTTCCCTGCTTTTGATGCAGGAGAACAGGGGGTGAATTCTCACCCCTCCACTTTGCAGAGTCATCTGGCTCTGCTGTGATGGGGTAGGTGGCATCTCCCTGCTCTACTGTGCCTAGAACAGCCTCGGACCCTCCTCCCCTCCTTGTCCTTGGGAAACAAGAGCTGGAATAGTGGCCTCTCAGCCAGGAGCATGTTGAGAAGTGGACAGAGTCATTGCACCCCCAAGGCTCCTCTCTTTCCAGCCTAGCAGCCTCCTGCAGCTCAAGAACAGAAATAGAAACATTTGCCTCTCCTCCTTTCCAGACTGCAAGACTGTAATCAGCCTAGGCCACAAAGCAGCCAGCGCTTTCCCTTGCATAAGGAAACTTATTATTTTCCTAGCTGATGCCAAAGCCTTCCATGTCCTTCCCATGCAGGGCACACAGCAGAGGCAATAGGGAAGAGGCTGCAAGGGAAGGGAAGGAAAAAAAAACCCTAAGGCTCTTATTGTGTTGCTTTGAACAGGGGGAGGAGGTGTCAAAATCCCAAGCAAGGGAAGAGGCAGCTGGAGTTTCTATTAAAACCATCCTAACCAAAAATTCAGGTAAACTGTCCAAGAGGAAAGGAGGGGGAAAAGAAAAAAAAAATCCACCTCAAACAGTAAGACTCCAGCCGGCATTTGTAGCCATCCAACGAGACAGCAGAGAGAGGAGCGGAGCCTGGCGCTGCCCCAGTGTCACCACGGGCTCCAGCGCAGCCGGCGTCCCCTCCTCCCTGCAGCAACAGGGGCCCGGGGGGCCCCCGCTGCTCCGCCAATCCCCCGGGAAGGGGAGCAGCCCCCTGCCCTCCACCAGCCGTCCCTGCCAGCGGCGCGCTCAGTTCTCGCCTGTCTGCACCAAGTCCTCGGCAGCCTTGGAGACCGTGGTCAGGTACTGCCAGCTGAGCGCGGCCAGGAGCATGGCGCACGACACGTAGATGGGCGAGTAGTGGTGCCGCGACGCGAGGGGCCCGCGGGGCAGGCTCCGCGCGCGGATGGAGGCCACGATCTGCTGCGTCTTGTGGCACGAAGGGTCCGCGCTCGGGATCTTCTGGTAGATCTGGCGGGAGGGAAAGGGGAACAGCGGTTTGGACATGGAGTTTAGGAGGGGAATGGGATCGCCGCAGGGATGGGGAAGCGCCGGAGCACTGTCTCCTCAAGAGCAACCTCACTGATGTGACGTGAGATCCAGCTGACAGATGTTGGAATGCAGCAAGGAAGGGCATTTTGCCATCTCCCTTGAGAAGTGCATTAAGCCAGGCAGCCTCTTGAGGGCACCCCACGATGGGAGATGGGTTACACAGCCCCAAGCCCCAGGCTACCCAACAACCCAAAAGGTTGTTAAAAACCAAACTACTCAACCTACCTCTTCCGCATACTGGTACATGATGGTTTTGACAGCCTGTATGTTTGTGGCATCCATCATTAGAGTGACAGCTTGTCCCTTCCGAATCTTCACTACACCCCTGAACACCTGCTTGTTGTTATAGCAGGCAGCCAGGGTGGCAATAGCCATCACCTAAGGGGAATCAAAAAGAAGAGACTTTACTCTGCAAGGAACTTGCCAAGGAAATAATCTTGGTCCTGGTGAAATCAATGGCAATATACTCTGGAGTGGAGCCAAGATCTCACCTACAACATGAACAGAAGGCAAAGGAAAGAGATAGAAGAGGAGGAGAATAAAACAGGCTAATACTGATATGACACATATTCATAGAATCATAGAATGCTTAGGGTTGGAAGGGACCTCTAGAGATCATCTAGTCCAACCCCCCTGCACACGCAGGGTCACCTAGAGCACGTGGCACAGGACTGCGTCCAAGCGGGTTTGGGAGATCTCCAGAGAAGGAGACTCCACAACCTCTCTGGGCAGCCTGTTCCAGTGCTCTGGCACCCTCACTGTTAAAAAATTTTTCCTTAAGTTCCTGGGGAACTTTTGGTGCTTCAGTTTGTGGCCATTACCTCTAGTTCTGTCAGTGGCCACCACTGAAAAGAGGCCAGCACCATCCTCTTCACTCCCTCCCTTGAGGTACTTCTAGACACTGCTCAGGTCCCCTCTCAGCCTTCTCTTCTCCAGGCTGAACAGGCCCGCTCCCTCAGCCTCTCCTCATAGGGCAGATGTTCCAGGCCCCTGATCATCCTTGTGGCCCTGCGCTGGACTCTCTCCAGCAGCTCCACAGCCCTCTTGTACTGTGG